TTGCATCAACTACGGGAGAATAGGTTTCTTCATAATCGATTCCCGGCATTTGAGAAAAACCTTGGGCAACAAGTCGGGCTTTATATCTAACAATTTCATTTTTCTCACTGCGTTTATGCATAAATACCCATTTAAAACCCATAGGTTTTACGCGTTTTGGCGTAGGGACTATCGGTCCAAAAACATCATGTTATTCAAGTGATTTTAATTCAGCCTGAATAGCTTCATTCCATTTTGGCCAATCGTGTCATTTCCGACATTCTTCAATTGATGTTGGCTCATTGTCATTGTTTTCATTCATAACATTTGTGGCAATGGCATAGACAAATATCTCATTAATATCAATATCTTTTCGATTCCATTGAATTCAAGTAGAAACGTAATTTATTGAAATTTCATAATTATCAACGTTTCTATCATTATCTGAAATATCTTCCTCATTTAAGGAAGTTGGATCTTCATTTGAGATGTTTGTTTTGTCAATATCATTTTCTATGCCAGTATTTTCAAATTGTTCATTTTCTTGTTCAGAAGGATGAACATCTTTGGCATCACATATCAATTCCTGCTTTTTAGTTTTTGTTGGTTTTATATCTTTTGATCCAAGTGGCCTGCCACGCCTTTTGCGCATAGAAGAATTATTTGCAAGATATTTTTCAGAATTCTCTACTGGGATTTGAATTCAGGCAGGAGCATTAATAGCAGGAATGTGTGACTTTGTCACTTTCTTTGTGTCTGTGAATGCATCAGGCAACTGATTCGCAACATTTTGTAAATGGATTATTTTCTGAACTTCTTGCTCACATATATTTGTTCTTGAGTCAAGATGTGATAATCTTGTTGCATTCTATGTTATTTCTTTCATACTTGGGTCTGATTTATTATTTTCTCACCCTAAGGTCGGGAATACTGTCTCATTGAAATGACAGTCAACGAATCATGCGGTGAATAAGTCACCAGTCATCGGTTCAAGATATTTTATTATTGACGGAGATTCAAATCCAACATAAATTCCCAACCTTCTTTGTACGATGAGGTGGAGCAATCAGAACATAAACAACATAACCAAATATTTATATGTGTGCTAAGTTTGGCTCTTGTCCAGTAACTAATTGCATTGGGGAATATTCATGATATGCAGTAGGCCTAAGCCGAATTAAATTTGCTACATGTAAAATAGCATGTCCCCAAGCTGATGAAGGTAAATTACACTTCATTAATAATGATCTAGCTATTAATTGTAATCGTTTAATCAAAGATTCAGCAAGACCATTTTGTGTATGGACATGAGCAACAGGGTGCTCCACATCAATCCCAATCGACATACAATAGTCGTTAAATGATTGGGATGTAAATTCTTCTGCATCTGGATGTGTTTGACTATGGTTGACTATTTGTATTGTACGGTGGGTTGTTGACGTGTCTGGATAGGTCCGGGATGTGACAAGTAAGGAGTTGTTGACCTCTATCGATGTCCACCATTTGCCAACCTCAGGTCTCTATCCCCGCTACACATACAACTTCCGGTCTCTGCGGCACAAACGGCTTCCCATGGCTTATTAGCCGCTACCCTCAACTAGGTTTCCTACCCTACTAGCTAGCCTTTTCAGATACTGATGACTGGACGGGTTGTCCAGATATATAGCTTTTAAGCTACATCCGGTTTTGCAATATGTCTAGGCTTGAATTTAATCTCTTGGCAGTCCAAGAAATATCTTATTGTGTTCGAATCTTCTACTAAAGCTAAATATAAAGCTATTGCTTACACAATGCAAGACACACTCCATGCTTGAGCTATACTATTTGAGCTCAGTACGTATCTCCATTCGTAGTCCTATCAAATTGTTATGTGATAATGTTTCTGCATCTTATATATTAGCCAATCTATTCTGCATGCACACAGTAAACATATCAACATTATTGATCATCACTTTGTTCGTGAATGAGTTGCAAATGGAGATTCTATTGTTCGCTATGTTCCCACGCAGTTTCAGCTTGCGAATATTTTTCACTAAAAAATTATCTCTCAACATTTCATTTTTCTTCGGAAAAATCTGCATGTGTTTTCTCTAGCACAGATTGAGGGGTGAATAATGCTGAATTATCGCTTTCTTATAATTCTATTTTTAGTAGGAATCTTTGTATTTTTCAGACTCTATTATTTCATTGTACATAGTCTTGAGGTCTACCAATACTGGTTAGCCTGACCATTATTTCAGTCACTATTAATATCGCTATGGCTTTGACTAGCCGCTTGGAGGTCCGACAGTAGGGGGATAGCTAGATATGGGCAGACTTTCATTATGAGAGACTTCCAAATTTTGGTTTCCTGTGTGGGATTCTTGGTCTCACTAATTGTTTCTGCCTTCTAATCCACACAGTGGCCTCGAGAAGCCTTACAGGTCATGGTTGCTGGCTGATATGATGTGGGGTGGCTCGCATCCGAGCAACATATGATGATTCCTAGCAACAACAGTCGGGGGGACAAAATGGATGAGAGGGTGGTCTTGGGCAAAGCGACAAGTGAGCAGGAAAGCTATGTGGCGGAAGGTCTGCTATCAAAGGGTGATTTAAGGAAGTAGCTCCCACCCAGGGAGAACCAAGGAAACGCATGGTCATTGAGCTGGTTAGTGAGGAAGAGACTCAAGTAAGCATGGATGCGGATGAGGCAAATTCAAAACACTTGCAAGTGGCGATGTTGTACGGGAAGTTCCGCCAGTAATCAGGGACTTTGGGGATATGTAGGGGAACCTTTGGTAGGGGCTGGTCAAATCGATGTCTCCTTGAAAGTGCAACATAGTTGCGAATGGAGTCCACCAAATTGTGTGGTTAGCGATTGTACCGCTGTTAAGCGTGATTTCAAATCTGAATCTCACTCCAATGTAAGGGGGTGTATTGTATTAGGATTTAATGGCAAAATTTTAAAAGTCCATGGATTTTAAAAGTTTAGGTGTATTCAATGTGGACTTTTAAAAGTCCACAAAAGTCTAGGTGTATTCAATGCGGACTTTTAAAAGTCTCTAAAAGTCTAGGCGTATTCAAATTTCCGTTCATTCTTATTGACTTCTAAAATCATGGATTCTCGTGGACTTTTAACTCATTTTTAGTGCAAAAATTCTCTGCAATTGTCTCTTCTCCTCACCAAAGATTTCCGTGGACTTTTCTTATATCGGTTCTTCATCCCGTCCCACCCCATTCCTCCCTCCCTCCTAGGGATGGACCGGGCCAGACCCGGTTTCTGTTCCGAGTCGGGCCTGGCCGGGCTTGGAATTTTTTGGGTAAGGCCCGGGACCAACCCGGGAGTCTACTGGTATCGGGCCGGGCCAGTTCCGGGTTGGGCCGGGCCAGTTCCGGATTGGGCCGGGCTGGTTCATTTTTTTCGGTTTTCTTATATATTCCAACCCTCACCCCCCAAACCCCTCCAAAACACCTAGCCTACCTACCATAGGCCCAACCCTCCCCCCCCCCTCCCAAAAAAAAAACAAATAAGGCCCGGACCGGGCCCGAACCAGCCGGGCTGTTCCTCAAATATGCAGTTCCGGAACCGCCCCAATTAATCCCCCCGGGTCGGGCCTAGGCCCGGTACCGGTACCGATCCAACGGGCCGGATCGGACCCGCACAGTGGCGGGCCGGGCCGGGTCCTGGGCCAGTCAGACCGGCCTCGGGCCAAGCCTACTCCCCCCCTCCCCCAACTCTACTCTTCTTTAGCCAAGCCACACCTTCCTCTTCAATCTTTCTTCTTTTTTTTCTTCAACCCAGCTCGCCCACCCCTCTCCTTCCATTCTTCTTCTTCTTTAGCTTGCCGTCCCCAGTCCACCCCCCTCGATTCAGTAATCCTATATTAATTCGATTCTAGAAGTTTCTAGAAGAACCGATATAAGAATCGATAGTATTACATCAATGCAATTCTGATACGTCATCAGTTAACCATTAAGAAAATAAATATTTTAACTATCACTTTCTTTCATCGTTAAATCTCTTAACACATAAAAATATAATTTCAAATTAATAAATATATAACCATAAATACATATACAAGTTTTTACAAGATAGAAGTTAAAAGAAAACAATCACTAATAGAAAAGCTCGATTGCATGTATGCTTGTACCACATGTAGCAATGAGTGTAATGCTTGTGTAACGATTAATGTTCTAAATCATTAATAAAATGGCCAAAATTCTCGAGCATTCTTGAAACTTTGAGTTTTTTTTAATAGAAAAAAATTTGAATTCTTATGCTTCATTTATTTTTGTAGAACTTTGTGTTGCTATATGAATTCCAATTTTTCATTTATTTATTTATTTATTTATTTATTTATTTATTTATTTATTTATTTATTTATTTATTTATTTATTTATTTATTTATTTATTTATTTATTTATTTATTTATTTATTTATTTATTTATTTATTTATTTATTTATTTATTTATTTATTTATTTATTTATTTATTTATTTATTTATTTATTTATTTATTTACTTACTTACTTACTTATTTATTTCTTATCGTACTCCGTATTATATAGAGGAAATCACTCACGGTAGGAATAAAACATAGCATTATTCTTAAAGTATGATTAAATGTTTGGTTTTTCTTAAGTGGGAATAAATATTACATATTCACCCCTAATTTAATTAATTTAATTAATTAATTAATATAATTAATTGTCCCTAGTTCCCTTTCACAACCAAAGCCATTTTGTTGGTGACGCGTCAGTCCGATGACGACAGCAGGGAACTCCGGTGATGGATGCGGACAGGTCACATGCATATCGGTAGCGACAATCTAGGTGAAAATTTTGACGACCAGCAGTGGCGGTCCGCATATAAAAGTCTATGGACTTTTTGAAAGTCAATAAACTTATCCATGAATTTAAAAGTCCATAGAATTCATTCATAAAAAAGTCTATGGATTTAAAAGTCCATTGACTTTTTTAAAAGTCCATGAATTAAAAAAAGTCCACAACAATCCATATTGAATACACCCCGTAGTCTTTAAATGCGGTTCTGAACTTTGGTTTCGGTTTGTGTAGAATCGCCAAAGTATAGGTGTATAATTAATACAAAGTATTTAATACGAAATTTGTCAATATACCGAAAATAAAGGAGTACATGTACAGTTTTTCCCCGTCTTATATATAGTTGGGTGGAGGTGGGGCCAGGGGGTAACCCACAAAAAATAATGTACGCACGTTGCAAAACTATAGCTAGCTGGTAGCTACTCAGGCCGGCCGGGGTGTGTTCATCAGAGTGGGAAGGAAGACCTGAGTTTGGCGGGTATGCAGGGAGAGTTGTTCCAAGACTTGGCGTGCAATCTCAGAACCTCTCTCGCCCTCTCCTTCCCCCCGCAATCAACCAGCTGAGCCACCAGGCACAGCTTCGCCGCCACTCCCAGCTGCAGCATCTCCTGCACCACGCCGGGGGTGGCCGAAAACCTAGACACGGAGTGCAGTATCCTCACGCCCCTCTCACTCGCCACATGCGACACCCTCAGGATCTTCTTCGACACCACCGCCAGCCCGCCCGGGTGGCTCACCAGCTCCGCCCGCCCCTCCGCGCACTGGCTCAGCTGGTCCAGCGCCGTCAGGATCATCTCGCACCCTCTTTTCTCCGACGACGCCGTGTCCAGCAGGAGATCCACCAGCACTGCCACCGCTCCCGCCTCCACCGCCTTTACCCGGTTCCGCCCCAGAGGACAAACGGTGATCAGAAGCTGCAGCGCCGCTCTAGACGCCTTGATCGATATTTGGTCTTTCAGGATCTGGACGGTTTCGACGTAAAACGCCGCCTTCAGCCCCATCACCTGCAGCGGCTCGGCCGCTTGCAGCATCGACTTCAGAAGCATCACCGCGAAAGCCCGAGTCAACTCGTCGTAGCTGCTCCCGAGACGGCGGCGTTGCATGGCCCGAACTAAAGTCTCGATCATGGACCGGTTGGCTAGCAGAGATTTCAGTCCCACGTCGGATAACTTGAGGCTGTGGAGTACACTCAGGGCTTCATCGCCGGGGCCCCACTCCTTCACGCCGCCCCCCACATCATCATCAGACGACGGCATTGATTCTTCACTTCTTATGATGACTGACGCTAGGAATTCAACCACACCGGCGTCCGTCTCGAGGGAACGCCGGTTCGCCTCGCTCTCGCCGGCGAGGGACCTCAGCCTCCGGAGGCACTGCATTTGCATTGCCGGCGGCGACGACTCGGCGTCCCTGAGGAGCTTCAGGATCTGGGATTTGCTGAGCGGGGCCTTTGGGGTCGGGAACCTCTCGACGCCGTGGGAGGCGTTGAGGGTGCACCAGGATTGGATGTAGCGCCGGAGAGTGATGTTGGGAGTGAGGAGATCCTCGCCGCCGGTCAGGATGAGGGCTTGTTTGGTCACCGGACACGTGTTGTTGTTGTTGCCGCCGGCGTCGGATGAGAATACCCACTTCTCGATGCTGTCCCGGTCGTAGGTTATTCCGGTCGACACCGTCACCGGATCCCTCATTATTTCTAGCGAGATTGGGCAGAGAAAGTATGGAGGAACTTCGATGATTTGTTCCATTTACTTTGAAATTAAAGATAATAATTACTAAAAAAGGTCAAAGAATACAAACTGATAAATAGGGAAAAATGTATGTATGAATTGGGTTGAATTGAATTGAGTGTTAGTTGTATATATACTCGGTCTATATATATTTTCAAAGTCAAACCCCGGAAACGGCATTGTAGTAGTAGATGCTGGAAGGGACGTTTGACTTTTCCAACTGCCTATTGTGAGAATACCCATTCTTAGGATTTCTTAAATAAATACAATGTTGAAAAGGCATCATCCATCCAGCCCAATTAATTACTACTGTGTGTGAAATGTGTGTGGCCAGCCAAGAAATGGAAATTTGGGAGTCTCTATGATTTGTTTGCCACCGCTTCTTTGACTTTAATTTCTCTAGAGAAACAAAGATTAAAAAACACATGTTTATCGTTGTGCCTTATTAATTACGCACGGGTTAGTTATCTCGTTCTGCCAAAGGCAAAATGTCTCATGCTAATATAGCATTACTCTCGAGTCTAAATACTGGTTACTCCCCCCATTAGGCCATTCAGTTGTAGCGGTTAGCGGATAACGGGTTATGCTGACGGGTTGTCAATAACGAATTCGGTCAACGGATTTGATAAGCGAAATAAATTGGCGAATTGTCAGAAGATGTTTATTAATTTAGCTGTTTGGCCATAAAATTAGTAGAAAACGTCATTTTTCAAAACGTCAACACAAATATCTCCTATTAGCAGCGTTTTCATTTCAACATTTCCGTCCAAAAACGCTAGTGCCGAATAGCTATTTATCATACGACTTTTTCACTTATAGAAAACGGTAAAAGTGATCAGACCGCCATTTTTCGGCTGAAACGCCGTTTACCAAACACCCCCATAGTCCCTTTGTCCTGAAAATGTTCATCAAATTAATATTTCTTGGTCAAGAACAAGAAATAATGACACAAATATAATTGAAACACTTTTACACGACAAAAATGTGACTAATTTTGAATTTAAAACCAAAAAGAGAATATTTAATACTGAATAGACTAAAAAGCCCTTACTATAAAGATAATTCTAAACCTAATTACCCCTACATCGCTCATCCGCATCGGCCCTATACCCATCTTCAAGCTCCGCCCATGGTCTCCATCTTCAAGCTTCGCCCAGGGTCTCCATCTTCATGATCAAGCTCCGCCTAGCGAGGTCGCAACTCATCATTAATGTCGCTTTGCTCCACCATCGCCATATCTTCGTGAGGTCACACGGGCAAACGAAGCACATCATTGACGTCGAAGCCCGCCGCCACCGATGGACTACCGTTCCAGATCTTCATAGCGGATTGTTACCGCAGGTTGGAGAAGGCGAAGATGACCCTGGATGATCGACGATGGCAGCTCATGGTCGATGAAGGTCCACTGAAGCATCGATCATTGGCGACGGTGTTCGATCACAGCTTGTTCATTTGTAATATAATGCAGATCCAAAAAGTCGCGCATATAGGGTTTGGGATGGGTTTGGTTGAGAATTGTGACAGTGGCCATGGTCGGGGCTAAGTCTGGTCAGGGATTGTGCCCACGACTAGGGTTGGGGATGGGGTTTGATGAGATCTGGTTATGGGGCTATAGATGGTGGTAACTGGACGAGCGGTGTTGTAGTCACTGGCAGCGACATGGCGATGCAGTGGTCACTGGTTATGGTGATCGGAGGTTGCGTTTCACTGTGGCCGACCGATGACAGGAGACAATCACTATAACACATGTCACTGTGGTTGGTGGCGGTCACTATGTCACTGTAACGGATTATGTCACTCAAACTGGAGAATAGGGGTAATTTAGTAAGTTTGGTACTTTTTAGTCACATTTTCTGAATTTTATTTAAAAGGGGTCACTTTTTGTTAACTATATTTTTGTAGTAATATTTGGGTCAAAACCCCGGCCCTAAGAACAATAAATTTTGATCAACGATAATTTATGAAATTATTTTGAATATGAAAATTATATCAAAGTATACATATTCAAGATATTTTCATAAAAGTATAAAATATCATTGTATACAAATATAATAATTAAAATCGTTGTCCAAAATTTGTCATCACCTTTACAAAATGATAAACACGAATGAGGGTAGGGGTACTTTAGGTATAAAAAAGTATTGGTGTAACATTATAGCTTTACCAAAGTGTACCTGACGCTTAAATATTTGGTCTGCGTTTCTGTCATTTCTCTCATCAGCAAACGTCTTTCATCCTTCCATTACACGTTGCCGCATGATATGCACTAATTAGTAGTGCGTAAATGTATGTTTTTTTGTTTGATTTACGTTGATTGTTTGACTTTATTGTGAGTTTGAAAACATTTGTTTGAGTTTAGTCGTAATTGTATTTTATCTTGCATTTCTAAGTTGTAAAATAGTAGTAGAATTTTTTATGTTGGAAAAGAGGACTTTGAAGTGAAGAAAGATGCTCAGGTGATTTACCTGGCCGGGTATGGCCTTTCACCCGGTCGGGTATGAGTTGAAAAAGGAACCTGCTACGAAATTGGACTTATACCCGGTCGGTTATGATTTGACTCGAACAAAGAAACGTGCTGAAAACACAATAACGTGGAAGATCGATTCGAATTTGACCGATACCCGATCAGGTATGCCCTTTACCCGGTCAGATACCCGATCCAAGGTGTTGAAAACATGTATAATAAATAGCATACTTTTCTTTCATTTTATTCACTCTTTCTTCCATACACTTAAGCTCTACTTAGAATAGTAATTTCGTTATATTTTTCTAGCATTGTTTAGTCTCCAAATGAGGAGCTAAACTTCAATTTCTTGGTTTTGCTCCTGAAACTTGTTGAATGTTTAAGTTGTGAGTTACCCCCCCCCCCCCCCCCCCCCCCCCCCGTCTAAAAAAACTTTGCCATTTCAGAATATTTGAACCATGATTTTGATTAGTATAATATTATGAAAGTTATAAATTTTATACTTTTATGAAAGTACTTTTAACAAGAACATTTTCATATAATTTTTATATTATAAATAATTTTTAATAAAATAAAATGCTATAGTTGGTCAAAAAATTTAAAATGACAAAGTTTTTTGGGACGGAGGTAGTATTTTCTTAACTTCTTCTGTTGAATATTAATTCTTCCCTTAATCTTATTTCTATGTTGACGTTGGGGTGTTTCTAAGTGACGATTAGTTAACGCTTCGGCATTAATTATTACTAGAAACGATCAATGAACCGATGGTTATTAATCGTTGATGGTTTTACAAGTACCTTCAGTTTATTAATGCACGGTCGTGGTTAATAAACTTAAGAGGGATAATTGTTTTGGTTAAACCGAAACAGTTGTGTTGAGGTTATCAATCTCAATTGGCTAATAATAAGAGTTGTTAATGAATGATCGCTATTAATAACTACCCTCGATGAATTAGAGAATCTCCTCGATTGAGTATTTGAGAGGGGATAAATTAAAGATATAACCGGGATCGACTAACATCTCAACAAGTGGAAACTTGCAAAACCAAGTTCTTTATCACTTTGAATTAAAACACATATAAGTTGTTCAACTTAGTGTTTAATTAAATTAAATCACACAATTCCAAAACCCTCCTTTTTTAATTACTAGTTTCATAAAAGGAAAGTATTCTTTTCCCCGTGGATATGAACTCTACTACACTATACTACGTGTAAGTGTTAAGAATTGAATTTAATTTGAGGCACATACGACTTTAGAGTTGATTTACAGATCGGGTTAAGAATTGAATTTTTCCATTACCGGGGAAAGACAATAATTTTTCTTTTTATTTTAGTTCAAGAAAAAAAATTAATAAAAATATAAAGATTCTTACTTTTTTTGAGCTTTAATTGAGTATATGGTAAAAACCCGATCAATATATCAACTCACCTACCAAACAAACACGGAAATAGAACAAATCCTTGAGAGGTTTAGGAATTTATTTCCAAATACTGCTTCGAAGGAATCATCAAGCGCTAGCTCTCAATCTAGCGAGCCCGGAGAGCCAATAACTATGGCCCTTGAAACAAGAACATTAAGGGAGCTCACGGCTTCTAATCTCAACCAACAAGGTGAAAATCTTTATAGCTTTCAAGGTGAAAATATTTTGTAGGTGTTCAAAAATGATTAGGAAAATGTAAAATTTGATGCATTTGAAACTTTAGTGTCCAATATGAGACACACAAGTAACCATAGTGTCCAATTTGGTCCGTTTGAAACTTTAATGTCCAATATAAGATTCTCATAAAACCAAAGTGTCCAATTTGACTCTTATCCCTTAAAAGAATAGAATAAAGGATGTCACATAAAAATGTATGTACAATGTATGTACACATGACATACATACAGTCTCTATTACTCCCTCCGTCCCAAACTATTTTGCAAAATCAACATTTTTTGGTCAACCAATAATAAAAGTCAATGCTCCGTATCGATAATAATTTAATTTTTAATAATTAAAATTTATATATTCAAAAACTACATTAAAATCTCTTCAAAGTTGTAAACTCCAAATTAGAATATAATTAAAAATTGACATCCTAATTTAGCGAATAAAGTGACAATGTTTGACCAGGAAAAGTCAAATTTACAAATCAATTTGGGACGGAGGTAATAATAAATACGGAGTATAACAATACCCACATGCATACATTAAATATGAATGAAGCCGGGGATTGGAGGAGGCAGTTGAATTAATTAATTTGAATGAGAGCTTATTAAGGTAGTAACGAATTGCATGTATTGAATTAATTTATTATTTCCATGGTTGAATGGAGAGAACAATGATAAGGATGATGATGAGGAGGAGTATGATGGCATAGCAAGTCCACTTGCGGGTGCTCTTCTGTTTGGTGCGGGCCTCCTGGAGCTGGTGAGCCCCATGGCGGACCACGCTATGAGCCCTCTACATCTGGCTCTCGATGTCATCCAGCTGCTCCCCCTGCGTCTCTACCAGCACCGCCATGTCCATGAACACTTGGTGAAGCTCCTTCAAGTTCCTCTCCACCTCCTTCACTGCCTCGTGCCACTAAAGGAAACCTCGTGGCTAAAGGGCACTAACACTAGATTAAACGTCCAAAACGCTAAGTACACAAGCAAATCGAAGAACATGAAGAAGAACTCACCTCAACAGTTAGGGTTTGATCGCCAAGGGCTTTTCTTTCTCAAACATTGGGCAGAGCTTCGCTTTAAAATCTCAAAATTGAAAATGCCAAATGACTCCAAATCAGGGGTACATATAGGCAACCCAGTCGGGGTTACTTCGAAACTACACCCTTCGGTGAGAAAGTCATCATCACCTGTCAGCTCCCGACATGTGGCGCCACTCCCAACGATCACCTCATCATCACCTGTCAGCTCCCGGGTAATCTCGAACATCAGAGTCAAACATTTCCTCCACGCAACGCCTTCAGCCCCTGCACCAGTCAACACAGGAACTTGAAGACCCAAGGAAAGAACTTTTTGTTCACAAGCCCTCAAGATACTACAATTCATCAAACCCTCTTGCCCAAAAAACCTTCGATCAGGAAACGTGGGGGACTAGGGGACTGACCCTCGCGCAATCTTTTTCAAAACAAAACTCCAAAACACAAACGACAACATACTTGCCTTCGGGTACTCAGAAAAGCTTGACAAAGTACTCCCCTTCGCCTTGGATAGCTCTTGATAAAGGGAGTGAGGGACTCCTGATGAAGTATATGGCATAGGACCCACAGATCCACATTCTTCTGCCACCGCAACATGCCCAAATATCTCAATAGGACTGGACAAGCAACCGGGTACCCCTCAAACCTCGGGAAAGTGCCTTTGGGTCCCGAGGGCAGAGCCCCCGCCTTCGGCCCAAAGGACTTTTGGGCCGGCAACTTCCAGCACTCAACTACCGCATTTAATGCTCCGCCACATGCCCGCATCTTCCTCACATTGGTGCTCTCCATCATAGACCAGCTTACATGTGTATGTGCACTTAATAAACTTTGCAGACTTGCAGTTATGACTAATATAAATAGCCGCCCATTTGGGAAGATGTAACGGTTCGAAAATCAGTGATATAATTGCTCTCTCTCTCTCTAACTTAATAGCTCTGTATTATCTCTACATATACCGCTAGTGGTATCACGATTTAGCTATCCATCACCAATAAACTGAGACGCACAAGGATGTTTTTTTTACAAAATTACTTCACTTTATTCATCACATTCATCATTCATGATTAATATGGGTAAAAACTCAAATACGTAACTACACTAGTTTGAGAAGAGACCATCTATATAGTCTGTACAAAAGAATTTATTAAAAGAATATAATAAAGGATGTCACATAAAAATGTATGTACAATGTATGTACACAGGACATACATACAGTCTCTAATAATAAATACGGGGTATTACAATATCCACATGCATACATTAAATAAACAGTTTGTTAAAAAATGTGAATGAAGTTGAGGATTGGAGGAGGGAGTTTAATTAATTAATTTGAATGAGAGTTTATTAAGGTATAAGTAATGAATTGCATGTATTGAATTAATTTATTATTTCCATGGTCGAATGGAGAGAACAATGATGAGGATAATGATGAGGAGGAGTATGATGGCGTAGCAAGTCCACTTCCGGGTGCTCTTCTGTTTGGTGCGGGCCTCCTGGAGCTGGTGAGCCCCTTGGCGGACCACGCTATGAGCCCTCTGCACCTGGCTCTCGATGTCATCCAGCTGCTCCCCCTGTGTCTCTACCAGCACCGTCACGTCCATGAACACTTGGTGAAGCTCCTTCAAGTTCCTCTCCACCTCCTTCACTGCCTCGTGCCGCTCCTGCATATATGCATGTGTTATATTTAATTTGTCGTTTTCTATGACCATTATAAATAAATTACACAAAATTCTACTAGATTTCACTTGTAATAATAATTCAATAATATTAGAATTTTGTAATGTGCATGCAAGTGATCTGAAGTACATCAATTTCCATTTACTTGTTCAATACTTCAGTCATTATCATTCAAATGATATAAAATTAAATATGATCCATAAAATGTAAATTTATTATCTTAATTAGTGCTCATTCCTCATGGAGGCATTGATTCGGCTATGGGTTTGGTTATTGATGACATTAGAGAAATTGCATCTAGTTTTGCTAGAATTACTTTCTCTCATGTGAAGCGATATGCGAATCGAGTAACTCACGATCTAGCTAGGGTTGCTATTTCTTTGTCTGATCGATATGTGTGGATTTTTAATTTCCCTCCTTGTATTAAAACTTTGTTGGACTTTGATTTTATTAACAGTACTTAACTAGTTTCCCTTCAAAAAAAGTAGTGCTCATTTTAAACCTTGGAATTGTAATTATACTCGTTCATCGTCTCCTCAGTCGTGCACCCTCACCTCATGAAGCACACCGAGTAGGCATCAATACACACTCTTGCATTTATATGAGGATGAGGGCACCATGCCCCTCGTCCATTGCACGACACGCATATCATTAACAACACCATGTGCCATCTTTTCATACGTTGCACGAGTTTCGCTCATATATTAGCTTACGTATACCATCATATATACTTCATCCGTTCTTTTTTAATTGCAACATTCACTTTTTCATGTTTGTCAATGCACAACTTTGATCATCATTATATTTAATTTTGTATTAGTAAAAAATAATTAAAAGTGAGATTATGAAATTTTATAATGAGACGAATTGAACAATCTTTTTCAAAAAAACATAATTCACATACATTAATAAATAAAATTTAGTCAAGGTAAAGTACATGAATAGTGTGTAATTTGCAATGTTGCCACTATAGAAAGTCTCCTTTGGATTGATGTAAGGGTTCGAACATTCAATAATATCAAGTATTTCTCTCTCTACATTTAGCTCTATGTTTTCTTTAAAATAGACATACTAATAGCGCGATATAAGGATGTTTTCTTTTGGATTGTTTTCAGTCCCAGACCAGACCAGACCAGACCAAACTTCCGTAGTTATAAAATACACAGAGACCAGACGTTTACCAGACCAGACCAGACCAGACCAAACCAAACCAGATCAGACCAGACTTCCGTAGTTATAAAATACACAAAGACCTAACGTTTACCAAACTAGACCAGACCAGCAAATTTCAGTCCAAAAGAAAACATTCTAACTATTAATGATTAAACTTTCTAAATAATACTCCTTAATAATAAATCACAACTAAAATCAAACGGGATAAAATTGGAAGATATTGAATGTTTCATAGTCGTAAATTTGACATTTTTAAATGGAACCAAAGCCTTATTAGTTAGTCTTTATAAATTTGACTTTTCAAATGAATAATAATAAACTTTAATAATAATTTCGACTATAAAAAACAAATAACACTTTTATATCATTTTTATACTATAAAAATTTAATAGGAACATATAGTCATATACTTCGTACATCATTGGTCAATTTTTAATTTGGTTGACAAAAAATAAAAAATGACAAAAATAAAAATAAAAATGACAAAGTAATCGAGGCATATATACCTGGATCTCGATGACCGTGCTCATGACCTCCCCTCTCCCCTGTTCTTGTATAGCCTTCTGCATAAACGTCTCGCTCTGCCCCGTCGAGATCAACTTGTCAAGCACCTCCTCCGCCGGACTCTCTCCGGTCACGGTGTAGTACCTCCGTTGCACCGTATCTCGGTACTCTGCTTCGATCCTCTGGCGGAGGTCGTTGAACTGGTTCATGTACTCCTTCAGCTTGCTCCTCAAGCCGTTCACGACGGAGGTTCTCGTCCGGTCGGAGGAGCTGCCGGGGCCGAATCCGTGGATCTCGCGGTTGGCGGCGTTGGACCGGTCCAACTCCTGGAGGCGGTGTTTGACGAGTTTGGCTTGTTTGAGGGCGAGGGAAACGTCCCGGTCCATCTCCGACCGGAGGCCCTTGACTTGTTCGGCGTTGTGCAGGGTTTTGCTCCGGTCATGGGAGGCTCTGAGGTTGGCGTAGATGTCCCCGATGTCTTTGAGGTCTTCCTTGATGGCCTCCACGTCATCGAAGAACTTGGAGAGGCTTGCTCCCCCTCCGGTCGCCATCTCGACGGTGTAGGAGTCCGGCGGCGGCGGGGATCCCCTGTTTTCGCGAGGGAGGGAGAAGGATGTTGATAGAAGGTCGTTCATGATAGCAGCGCCAGCTAGAACATGTGCGTACTTGAGATCAGTTCGGGCGATCGAGAAATGAATTGAAGAAATGATTGAGAATTGAGAGTGGAAATATTAGTAGGTTGAATTGAGAACAAGGAAGGAATTGAGGAAATGTAAAAAGGAAAACGCGGTTCCTTGTTTGAATTGTTCATGCATGAGCGCGGCGGCGCAGAGATTTGTTAAATGCATTGACCGGAGAATATTATATTCACGCTTGACTTGGTATGGATCAACGCTTAGTCTAGAAGGTATTTCAAAACAAAACTTCAAATTGTATTTCAATGATTGATGTCAAAATCCCTATGAAGTGGTGATCTATTGGCTGACGAACAACACCTAAATTCTGACAGGGGATACCCAACCGGCGGCCAGCCTTCAGAGCTAGGAAACTGCACTTCCATCACTTTCCATAACTGAGCATGCTCAATGTATTCATTCGAAAATCAATCACCGTGCTCGCTCTTAATTCCGCTTCAATTTTTATGCTAGTTGTGATAGAAATCAAAGGCAGAATCCTTAAGTTAACCTCTCCACCTTCCCTAGCAGCCTTGGCACTTAGCCCTGCTTTCTGGGAGGTGATTTCAAGGACATTAAGGAATACAAAGGTAAAGCCATCCCTAACAAATACTCCGTACTTGGGAGAAGAAAAGTGCCTCTAGTCTCGATGGTTTTTATGGAAGCTTTTACCATGCCTGTTTTGATATTAGGCAAAATTACTATTAACCCCCCTGAGATTATGTCATAATTATTAATACAACCTTCATTTTCAAAAATCAATTACTTACCCTCTCACCTTTGATCATTCTCACTATTTGCCCCCTCATTTTAATATTTGTTCAATTAAATTTAATTTAACTCTTAAAATAAATGAAAATTGTCTATAAAATTAAATTTTAAAAGTAAAGTGCAATTTATTATTACAAGAGAAATGCTCTTTGTACACACCCACTTACACACCTTATACACACTATATATACCTTTTTCATTTTTACCATTCCTTTTTAATCTTTACCATTCTCTTACCCTCATGCCTCATTCTCCCCTCTCTTCCCTTTCTTCTCACGTACGCCCCTCTTTTCCTTTGTCTTCCAGTACTGCTCTCTTTTCGTTTTTGGCTCACCTTCAATACCCAATTAATGGCTGATTAATTTCGTTTGGGTAAAAAATGGAAAGCCATGGAGCAGTGAGTGACCCAATTCCTTTCAATCGTAATCACAAATCAGTTTTATCTCAAAACCATGATTAATTGAGAAATAATCTACTCCTTTTTTATGTTTGTCTAGGGTTATGAACTTATGATTTTTACTTTTTTAGTAAATTATAGATGTTATGATGTTGAACTTTTGACTACTTTCTTTCATTGTTATAGATTTATGATGTAAACCATTGAAATTATAGTCCTATTGTATTTCCTTTATATGCTCATTACATGTTTGTTGAAATGATTGAATGAACTTTTTTCATATCTTTGTTTTTGTTCTCTCAACTTTGCTGCTTATATGATTTTATGTTTAATAGGAATAACTTTTTTTTTATATTACAGTTTAAATTATGTTAAATATATGCTTATTGTTTGACTATTTTATTTGACAAGTATCAATTGACTATTCGAACACAAGACTTTAAATGTAATTTTTATGTTGAATTTATATTGTTGGAATGATTCTTTATCACCTATTACTATTTTTCATGCGTAGCATGGTTTAAATGTAACAGGTTGGGAGTTCTGCTTGTATTGCGGGTGAACAGCTCGTAACAGGTTGTTCTGCTTGTAGTTCTGCTTGTAACAGGTTCAAGGAGATATGGGTGACAAGTTCTGCTGGTTCTGCTTGTAACAGATTCAAGGAGATATGTGCACACCTAAATGAGTTGAAAGTTGTGTTGCGGGTGAACAGCTCGGCCGAGATGTGTGGTAGCACCTTCAAAGTTGACTCAGAGTCTAAGAAAGAGAGTACTGACATTACTTAACCAAATCTCACACGAGATCATCCGCCAATTGTCATAAACTTAAATTGAGTTTTATGCTAAATTGTAGCAAGACGCTTCATGTGAAAGCTATTTCCGATCATTAATACTTGTATAAACTTGAAAGTTAGTTTTCATCAATATGTAATTTGTAATTATATCTAAAATGTCCATATGAATTGCTACTTTCTTGGGTGTGGTTCTAAATTATCTTATTGTTTGTGTGTGACTGAAGCATTGTCTGCGTGTTTCTTTGTTTTGTTTGTGACTAGTTGAAACATTGTCTATGTCTTTGTTTATACTATCTGTGCGTGATAAAAGAAGTTATTTGTGTGTTCAATTATTTTAATTTGTTTGTGTGTAAATAGTAATTGTCTGTGTACACTTAATTTATTTTGTTTGTGCGTAGTCCAAATATCATCTATGTTTCATTTATATTGTATGTATGTGGTTGAACCATTGTTAGTATTTTTATTTATTCAATGTGTACAAGTATTTTGTCTGTGCATAATCAAAGCATCATATATGTCTTCACTTATATTGTTTGTGAATGATTAAAGTATTATTTGTTTTGGTTTATTTATTTTGTCTGTGCATAGATAATAATTGCTTGTGTGTCCATTTATTTTGTCTGAACACAAACAAATTGTCTACAACAAAACACCAGAACGAGTATAGATACACTGGTAGAGAAATGGGTTATTAAGACACTTTATACATACTTATGGCGACGCTAAAAAGCATCGCTAGTACTTTTATCGACGCTAGTAAAAGCACTAGCTTTGCTTATGCCGCTAGCCCTTTCTACGACACTAAGTGTTAGTGTCGGTATAGAACTCTAAAAGTGTCGCTACATGTGAGGCACTTTTCATCATATTTGCGTCGGCAGATACTCAACCACATTTCCCAAGCACATTTTTATTAGTACCAAATTCAATAAATATTTACATTGTACCTATTAATTAAGAAATATTGTACAAAATTATACACCAAATTATATTTAATAGCACCAAATTATACAAAACAAATCATTTTAAAATTCGAAAGAACAATTATGAAAACAAAATGATTTTTAATTAAAACTGTATAATAAAACTTTTCAACTACATTAAAGGTAATCTCAAACCACAATTACGAAACAATACTTGTTTTTATTCCATAAAATTAAACTAGGCAAAAAGTATCAAAATATCCATTATCTATTACATAGTTCCAAAATCAATCCTCATCTGGCCAGTCTTCCATGTTTGTATTGAAAAATCTGCAACAATAGAATAAAATAAAATAATGAACAATAGTTCTAAAAAACACAATCTAAACACCTGCGGTGCTCACTCACTTTTTGACAAATATGTGGTTAAGATCATTACACTAATACTCTTAACAGAATTTGCGGATCAACATTGTGATTAAAGTAAAAAGGAGGCTGAAAATCATATATTGCCTTTAAGAAATGACCTAAGAACCAATTTTACGTAAGCTATTCAGCATCATCTTTTTCTAATTTTCCAGCTTTTCCGTCTCTCCTACTTTCAACTACATTGACTACCTCTAAAACTTTACTCTGATTCCGAAATAACTCTAGAGCAACAAGAATTTAGGAATATAATAATTTCTTTATTTTATAAAAATACTCATGACAATAACATCAAGGTTATTTAGCTTATTCAATACATTAAGACATTTCAACCATACCATCAAGAAGAGGAGCTTACCCATAAAGAAGAAACCATCTCAAGGAGCTATGGTATTAGAACCTGCACATTACACAAGAAAATATCTTTTTTCATGGTAGAATAGTCAATCTCAAGTAACACATAAGATGTTATCTATAATTGAACATTGTTGTGTTTCGAGTACTCCAAAAACATCATTATAGTAATCACTATCTTGTAAAATATACACAGTTTCGTGCATCTATAAGAATGTTCGAAGTTCCAAATGATCCATGGTGTCGAATGAGAATGCTTGAGTTATGGTGTCTCCTATTTTCGTTTTCAGGTTCTATAGCCTCCGAGCACACCTATAATTAATTGAATAGTAAATTTGCATACTTAATACTTCAAATATAAGTTTTAATGAATTAACTCCATATATTCCAATGAAAGTGCATATGGTTTGCAATCTTACTGGGCAATTAGGCATCTTTCACCAGATTGGTGAGGCAACTAACTCCGAGAATTCCTTCACTTGTCCTAGCTCACATATTAACATTACCTGCAAAAGTTCACTGCATCCTCCATCAACGCATAGTCGCATACATGACTTCAAATCTAACATACCTGCAAAGTTCATAGACGTACACATTTGTTTCAAGACCAATCATCACCAGCATAAAGCCCCATGTGAGAGAGTCAATGATGAGTAATATTGTCTCGTATGGAGCGATACTAGTCTGTCCATCAACATTAAGCAATGACATCCCATTGCTATAGATACAAGGGTTCACAGTACAATAAGAAGCCATCAAAAATACAATGCCAAAACTAGAAGATGGGAAACAGAGATGACCAGCCTTCCAGAATCTTGATCAAACAACAAAAAACTAACCAGACAGCCTTGCACAAAATTAATCACAAAATACCAACGTGTAATAATCAAATAAACCAGTCAATAAAAATAGTTATGTCGTTATTTTAATTGGGAAACAAGAAAATTAGAATGGTAAACTAATTAACAGAACTATACAGTAAAAGTCTTGGATTTGAACAAAAAATCATTGAGTCATTTCAACAAACATGTTATGAGCATAATTGAGAAGTAGATGATTGAACTAAAATTTCAGTAATTAACACTACATTTTATTACAATGATAGAATACTATTCAGTGTTATACGGAGTATCATATATTTAAAAAAAAATTATATAAATAAGCCCTAAAATGCATATAGAAAAACCGGAATATGTATTACCTTGATATTATGGGCTTGTTGACCGAAGCTTGTTGTTAGAGCGGCAAAAATCGTCTGTCTCATTCTCGTCTTATACAATCGACCGAAAAGATTTGGGAAGGGAGAGACAAACGAAAAGGGGAATGGGAAAAAAGGGTGCTGAGCGTACGAATGGAAGAGACGAGAGAGAGGAGGAAAGGGCGGATGGTGAATTTGAGTAAGGGAAGGGGTAATTTTTTTAGGGTATATATAGTGTGTATGATGGTGGGTATTAAAACGTGTACAAAGAGCAAAATTGTTATTACAATTACAAATCATTTTTCTTGATCGTTGTTTTTGTACAAAGCTACTCGATCGTGGAATAAATATTAATGAAAGTAGCTAAGATAGACGACTCACGAACTGAGTAATATTCATGAGATATATCAAATAAGATTGTTTGAAATATTGTGATCAGAATTCTAGCTAGACACCTCTTCATCATGAATATAAAAGTCTTTTTTGTAATTCATCCGGCTACATTAATCACAAATGACAATTCTTTCGTGTGTAGCAAAGATGAAGTACCAAGAAAAAACGGATTTTATCAATCAATGACCTAAAAGATTGGTTTAGTATCAATAACAAACCTAAAAAAAAGATGTTGGTGTGAATAATTGTAAGCTATCAATCTATCTAAGAACTAACACATATATCATAGATTTTGGTTTTTTTATTAATTCAATTACTATTTTTCTATGATTTTCCCTTCGCAAAAAGTTTATTAGTTTAATAAGATTAAATGATATTTACTTTTTTAAATTAAGAAAGATTAAAATTCGTAATATTTTATATCTTACTCGTGAGTCTTCTCTCTTAACTACATTCATTAATATTTATTCTATGATCGGGTAGATAAGTAAAAAAATAATGATCAACAACATTGGCTTATAATTATGATATTTAATTTTATTTTAATATAAATTTAATTTTGTAGACAATTTTGCTTAAAGTTAAAAGTTATTAAATTTAATATAACAAATAATAACGAGAAGGGGTAAACAGTGAGAATAATAAAAACACGGGGGTTAAATAATTGATTTTTGAAAATGCAAGGTTGTATTAATAATTATGGTGTAACCTCAGGGGCTAATAGTGATTTTCCCTTGATATTATTAAACCGATCTCCATAATGCAGTTGAAGAATTTTTCTACGGTGTTCCCAAAACTAAAAGTGTGGGCCATACTTTCATTACTTTTTATTTTTAGGGAGTACCAACCTGCAACTTTTCAATAAAATCAGACCGCTTAGTCAGAGCAATTTATCAATAAAATTTCCATTACAAATTTGACTAATCGGTTGACCCCTTAATTTAATAAAAGTATCTCTTTGGAACAAAGTCCTTTTTGAAAAGGAAAAGAGATTTCTCATACTTGTAGTATTTTAGCTATGAAAGAGATGACCCGTTGTCTTCCTAATGCTTTCCTTAGCTATGAAGGAATTCGATGTAATTAAGCTAGGGGTGGACTCGGGCCGGTTCGGGCCCGGTTCGGGCCTGGGCCCGGCCGGGCCTCGGGCCAGGAAAGTTGGGCCCGAGCCCGAACCGCCGGTGGGCGGTTCCGGTCCCGGTTCCGGGCCAAACCGGGCCGGGCCGGGTCGGGCCTAACCGGTTCTAATTTTTTTTTTTTTGGCTCTTCTATTTAACCCCCAACCCCTCCCCCTCAACCCCAAACCACCCCAAACCACCTCAAATGGCCCAAAATACCTAATCCAACCCAAAAATTAAAAAAAAATTCAAAAAAAAAAATTAAAAACCGGCCCGAACCGGGCCCGAACCGGCCGGACCGGTTCACCAAAAACTGGGCCCGAGCCCGGGCCGGGCCGAACCGAACCGGTGGACCCACCGGGCCCCAGGCCGGGCCGGGCCAAACAGTAGCCGGGCCGGTTCCGGGCCGGGCCGCCCGGCCCGAGTCCACCCCTAAATTAAGCCTTTGAATTCAAATTCAAATAGGATTAAACCATGAGAGGAACGGCCAAAGTTACATACTCCTATTGAAAGATGAGATTACACCGTTATAATTCAAACTTGCCTATTGCCCTATTGAAAGAAAGAAAGAACCTCTACACTTCTAGAATTAGATTTTTGACTTACTTTTGGACCTTTTATATTCTTTTGTTTGGGTGGGGGAGGATGATAAGAACGTAGTAATGTTGAAGGCTGCATGTTGGATACTTTCACAGTCACACTACTTTTCATAATAACATTACCAACCTAGATTGAGAAATTTGAGATGAGATTCAAACTTTTGATTTTCAAAGTTAATTAATAGCAGAGCTGCAAATGCCTGCAATGGCATCAAACCACAACAAATCGTATACAAATCATGAATTACTTAGTTACATACTCTGTATATATAATGCTATTTCGATAACTTGCTCAGGTAAATATTTAGAGAGATTGGTAGGGGAATGTATTAAAGATTGAGTAAAAGGTCAGTTTGGTACTCGAAGTTGCAAAAAAAGTGTCAAATAAGTCCTTATATAGAAGATTATGTCCGGACGTGCCATTTGAGGTGGCTCCCAATGGAATTTTTTGATAAATTTTTTTGAGCATCTTATTCATTAAGTCTAGTTTACTCATACCAAATTTCAGCTAAACATTCAATCGGGAAGACATTCAAATGAATTCTTGAAGATAACTACGCTTTTAACGGCACAATTATCTTCAAGAATTCATTTCAATGTCTTCCCGATTGAATTTTTATCTGAAATTTGATATGAGTAAACTAGACTTAATGAATAAGATGCTCAAAAAAATTCATCAAAAAATTTCACCGGGAGCCACCTCAAATGACACTTCCGGACAGAATCTTCTATATAAGGACTTATTTGATTCCTTTTTTGCAACTTCGAGTACCAAACTGACCCTTATCCCATTAAAGATTTAAAGTCAGTTGTTAGATTTGTTAATAATAATTCCAATAGAAGAGGTTAGAAACTGATATACAGTTATACACTTGTGCCTTCAACTAAAAAAATACAGCTCGGGCTGTGAATCCCTACAGACACAAACTGATGACCAAAAGGGCCTTTATCTGTGGCCTTTATCGATACTTGGTCGCTGCATAACAGCATAAGAACCTTTATCAGCACACCTTATCTGTGGCCTCTCATGAAACCTAAAAAAAACCTCAAAAAGGAAAACTGATAACTTCCCTCTCTTTCTTCTTGAGTCGGGCCCAACTTGGCCCGTAAACCTTTGAAAAATTATATTCAGAAGTTCATGTAACAACTTCATTTAATGCAACTTCAACCAGCTGTGACGCAGCAGCAGGAGTTGCAGTTTCCACACCTGCCGGCGCTGTGGTGGTAGCCGCTTCTACTACTGCTGCGGTTGCAGTGGCTGCCACTTCCATCACGGCAGCAAAGGCAGACGGTTGTTGGGAATGCGCAGTATAGTGAAATTCAATCTGAAGCCGGTGATGCAGTGGCACTGATATCATTAGACCTCTATTGATGTCTTCCTGCAGCTCTCTAATTGGAATTGCCGCCAGAAAGTCCTTTATATAGTGTTTGCATGTCTCTTTCCCTTCACAAATAATCTCTTTTGGATCAATCTCCATCCGCGGCTCCTCCTGACCGAAAACTCCATCTAACTTGACACTTGGCACTTTGTAGATAACTGAGTTCTTGTCAAACTTTAGTATGTAAGCCTGGTTGCAACCTGTCAAAGTATACGTAATAGGTTTAACAACATCTAAGCCTTATTCCCAAAAGATTTTGGGGTCAACTAACATGAATCGATCCCAATAGTATACGCAATAGGTTAAAGAATTACGGAGTATAATAATAACTGCAAGGTCTGAGTATAGTATAGGTTAAAGAATAATAGGTCAAAGTATAGTATATCCCATTCCACTGTTGGTATGCTATTTTCCTACATAAGTGATGTTTAAGATTCTGAAAAAAATGCAGACTGAGGGTGTAATAGAATGCAACAGCAAGTATAAAGAAAAAGTAATACGAGTAAATTAAAGGTTGGAGTTTGTTGTTCAACATTACCTTCCCAAAGTCGCTCCCCCAATGTATCAATTATGTAATAAGCTTCGGGTTCTGCTTTTAAGACGAAAAAGTGGTCATTCCAACTAACAATATAAACTTGGGTTTCCACCGTTTTATTATCGCAACTAATCTCGTCCCAGATGTTGTCGAAAGACAGTGCACCCTGCAAAAAGTCGAAACTACCCTTGTCGTCCATCATGTCTGGGTTGAAAAAACCGACAAATGATTTTTCTGGAATGACAGAAAAGCAACGGGTTTTGGCTGCTCGCAGGACAGTGTCAAGGTCAAAGTGCTTATCCGGGAAACTTTCCAGGTAGGTTTCTTCGTCCTGACAGAGAGTCCTCCATTCAGAAGAGCCCTCTCTGATCAAGCTGTCAAACTGTGACTTTACCGGCATGAGGTCACGGTTTGTGTGCAACCAATCAGCAATAACTGTGACGAGAGATGTGCATGCGCTTTCCCCGGAAGCCTGCTCGCTTCTTTGGTCAATTGAAGCAAAGAAGATTTGGGTTTGAAGCATCGCGTGCCCGTCCCGACTCATTACTTGTTTTTGTTCCCAAGTTCCAACAGCAAAATTGTCATCGCAGAATCCTGATATCGAAGGTCGGGGTCCACCTATTTCTTCTTCCTCTGTTCTGTGCCACTGCAAAATAGGACCACACCCATTAACTCTTAAAAGAGATACTCTGGATCAACTGTGGTGTCATTTGGTAACATTGTGTTTGTTCTTTTCCTTTTTTGTTTTCACTTTTAATAACAAAGAATGATTTCCTTTTCAATTTCAAAAACAGAAATAGAATTCTGTAATTTTGGGAAAGCATGAATTCACTGTTCTCATACACGTGTTTCTCGTTCTGACACTACTTGTAAAGCATTTAGATTTTCTACAGATATCATATATTTTTATAATAAATACTCCAAATAAAAATAATATATCTACCAAGCATATTTATTGAACATTTAGATTTTCTATATAAAAAATCATATACTTCAAAACAAATACTCCGATTTAAATCATATATAAATACCTTTATCCACCAAACACATTTGTACATTTTAGAATTAAGAAAGCAACAAATAAAATTTTGAGAACAGGAAGCATTACCCGAAGTGTGTTGAGACTGTTGAATATTGAAGAATCCAGGTTCTAACTTCTATCAGGTGGTCTTAAAAACTCCAACTGATAGATTGCGGAATAATATACTACATCTGTCCCATAATGTAAGATACATTTGGATTTGGTGCGGGTTTTAAAAAATAAAGGATAAAGTGATTGTTTTACAATTCTAACCTCCAAAAAGTAAGAAAGGGTAAGATGGGTCCACAAAAAATAAAGGGTGAAATGATAGATAAAGGGATAAAGTGAGGGGGGGGGAAAGTTAGTGGAGTCCAATTTAGGAAAGTGATCATATTTTTGGGATAACCCAAAAAGGAAATTATATCTTACAAATTGGGACAGAGGGAGTATTAAAGAACAAGGAGAAGAACATTGCAGTATGTTTTTTTATTGTAGACCAAAGAGGAATAGAATAAATAACGAATATATAGAGGAAACGTGTGAAAAAAGACAGTATTCTTTTGTTGTATTGTAATCTCGTATAAACAAGACAAGATGCTCAAGAGAGTATCACAATGTTATTCAATCATTGCGTTAAACTGATTAATTAAAAAAACTGAACAGATGTTAACATGGCACCGTTTTCCAAGAAAGGAAAACAAATATCCTTACCCCAAAGGAAACAGATTCATCAGAGCTGAGCTGGCGACGGTCATAGTCAATGTCATCCCCACCTTCTTCCCAACATTCCTTCCTCAACAACGGCTCCCCCTTAGGAGATCTGAACCTCTCCTTTCTCTTCCTCCAAGGAAGAATACTAATGCCACGTTGTTGCAAAACCACTGGCTCGGAAGCTTGTGAGATCCAACAGTCCACATTCGCCGACCACCCAACGTCTGATCTGCTATTGCTGTAGTAAATCCAACCCTCGTCCTCACCGTCAATCCGTGTTGATGATACTGCATAATTGGCATAGGGCAATGTGCCATAACTAAATGAATTCCTAACAGGAGAATCTTCTTGTCCCTTTCTTTCATCTGATTCTTCCCCTTCCTCGAACCCATCAAGTGACTCAGAGTCAATAGAAGGGTATGCGTGATCTGATCTGCAGTCACTGATATCTTCCTCCCGACATGGTTTTTTTGCTCTCCTCACGGACACGTAATCAGTGAGGATCTTTACTTTTCTAAGACCAGCCTTAAGGGCAGAAAGCTCATCTTTCTCTACTGATGATGATGATGGTGTTTCTCCAGGTGGCTGAGGAGGTGATGTTATGGGCTTCTCCACCAATTCAGTAGGCTCTTGTGGAGTTATCAGTTCCAATACACTTAGAGATATCTGCAGGAGAGGTCAAGCAGAAGATTTAGGCTTCCTTTGGTTTTCTTAGCCGGTTCTTCTTATCATCACAATATAACAATAGGTAAATTTTGAATTGATGACCATTTGGTAACCACTTTTTTTTGGCTTATCATCCTTATAGCAATTTTTGTAAACATTAATTTATTTGGCAAAGTTCGCTGAATTGGTTCATGATGAAAAAATATATGTATGGAACTCTCTAGGAGGTACTTTGAGGGCTGAAGTTGCCAAATACGACCATTTTAGTTCTATTTCATATATATATATATATATATATATATATATATATATATATATATATACAGAAAAGATCAGGTCCCTCCGGAGGGACGGGAGGGACCGTCCGAACTTTACTGTTTGGGGCGGTTCCCGGTGGAATTTTTTGATGAATTTTTTTGAGCATGTTCCTCATCAAGTCTAGTTTGTCCATACCAAATTTCAGCTCAAAATTCGACCGGGAAGGCAGTCAAATAAATTCTTGAAACTTACTGCACTTTATATATGCGCAGAATGTGCAGTAAGCTTCAAGAATTTATTTGACTGCCTTCCCGGTCGAATTTTGAACTGAAATTTGGTATGGACAAACCAGACTTGATGAGGAACATGCTCAAAAAATTTCATCAAAAAATTCCACCGGGAACCGCCCCAAACAGTAAAGTTCGGACGGTCCCTCCCGTCCCTCCGGAGGGACCTAAGCAGTCCTATATATATATATATATATATATATATATATATATATATACACACACACACACACATACACACATATATATTCTTTATTTCTTTATTGTATAAGTAAAATAAAACTTCAATTTTCCCCTGAAATTGGGCAATTTCAGGAACTTCATCAATATAAAACAATGATATGAAAAAAGAACAGAAAAATTTAGGGGTGGGCACGGTCCGGAACGGTCCGGTAAATTAGCAAAACCCGAAATGTACCCGTGAGGTTTCTAACGGTTCGGTACGGTCCGGTTCTAAGGTTAGAACCATTCGGTACCATGTCGTTTCGGAATGGTTCGGTACAATGCCAAACACATGCCGAAACATTTGAACAAATCGTACAATTAGTATATATCATCACACCGGCCAATTCACATGAAATGTTGATAAAAATATGAGAAAGTGCATACTAAATACTAGAAAAGATTCAAGAGGTTGACATTTTTGTATTTAAATTCACAAATACTCAAATAGTGCAACACAATTAAGTAAAAATATAGCAAAATAACGATACACTAGTATAATATCATCTTTATTAAATTCATGTGAAAATAAAAAAAAAGATATCATTAAATTGTTGAATATAATAGAAAACTTTAATGTACTGCTTCTTTGTTCTAAGTTGAATATTAGTTCTAATTTAGTTGATAGTTGAGCCGTAAGAGCTAAGATTCAGACCATATTAATTAAGTTGTAAAATTACATATATATGATACAACAAGAAGTCATATACACTACATTATTAGAAATTAATAGTCATTAATGATTTTAAAACTTTAACATTCTTTTTCCAAAAAAAACACTTTAGCATTTTTTCATTATATATCAAATATAACATAAATTATCTAAAAGGAAAAAAAACAATATTTATATCTCACACATAGCTATTTTAGGGATGCATGAATACATACTTGGGCTATAAAATTGTTGGTCTATAAAAGATGTTTATTGGTATGGAAAATATAAAATCTTAAAGGCATTATTTTTGAACGGTTCGGTCCGGTATTTTTCGGTTCTCAAAATCTAGGACCGGTCCCGTACCCGTTTGAAATGGTACGGTTTTGGTTCGGGTTAAAATTCTATAGAAACGTTTAAATACCCGATATTCGGTTCTGTACCATTACGGGCCGGTTCGGTTTTTATGTCCACCCTTAGAAAAACTCATCCTTACCAAAAGGGTGCTTACTTATTTGGTTGGTAAAGATGTTACCAAATGCTTTTCCTTTCAGAAAATCCAGCAGATTCAACAATTATTCAGATACCACAAAGGAGCAGTTTTCAAACAGATTGAAAAGAATGTGTGCTATGTGAAGAATGGTACATACACAAAGAATAGGACGAGCCTCAGATGCATTCCCAGAAATTGCTAGTGGGATTTTCAAGTTGAACTCTTTTCCCTCCTCTGTCTTGGCAGCAAATTCAGCAAGGTTTAGGACTGCTGTTCCAACAGTATGAAGCTTATTCTTAGAACCTTGATTTGACTCCTGAATTGTAAATCACAACCAAAACAAGGCTCAGCAAACCCGGACATTCCATGTGGGTATAAAATCTACTTCCTTCTTCCTATTTGTCTGTCACAGTTAACCACTTTTATTTGTTCTATTTTATCCCTCCATTCTTAGGAGGAACATAAATAGGTTAGTGGTGTTCAATGAGAGCATTTAAGGTAAAATATGATTTAAAAAGTAGTTAATGTATAGCCCCGCTACATTTTCAAAAAACGGTAGATGGTCGAACATGGACAATAAATAAAGATAAATAAGAACATGCTAAGTATTACAGAAGAATATGCTCTCAATGTTGGAACATGGAAACATGTTTATAGAATTAGAAGCAGCAAGCATTAGATGGAACACATTTACATGGTTTCTCTATTTTGGTTAAGCAAGATATCCGAGTTCAACCTTCATTAAGAACAAAATAAGTCGAAAAAGCCCATGCTACTCATCTGTGCATTCTCATAAGTGTTAGTCACACCTACCAAGTTTCAACTGGCTTATGCTGCAGTGCATATGATCCTAGTGTGTAAATACTGTGACGAAATCTTGTTGTAAAAGGCAGTTAAAAATATACAATTAAAAGGTTAGAAGTTGGAATGTGGAAGTACTAGTGACAACGGCACTCGCTTCCCATTTTATAAGCACTCGAAAAGAGACTGATGATGCAGATCAAATACATACAAGAGAAAATTCCAACTAAAACATAAGAAAAATGAAAAATAGGATCACTATTGATTTTTTCTAAAATAGAACCCATTCACACCTATTTGACAAAGTTCTATACTTTAGGATCAATGAAAGCCTATCTTGGGAATAAAACATAATCTCCTATATGCCTATTTTAGTCCTATTTGAAGCAATTTCTTATACAAACAATTCTAGAGATGTAGATAAACTTTACCATTTTCATTAGTAATACATGTAATTTAAATTTGTAATTATTTAAAAAAAAAAAAAAAACAGGGTCAAGAAAATTAGCTCACATTGAAAAACACAGTGAAGCTGATCTCCCAAGGATGAAACGCGTTATCCCTCAACCCAGACAGATTGCACACGTTTTGAAACTCGTCATCCCACTCCACAAGAAAGGCGCCATCTTGTCCATTCTTGACCCCTGCTTCTTTGGTGCAGTTCCTCTTCACTGTTCTTCTGAAGGACCTCAACGCCGCCTTGGGTGGGCCCTTCCATCCGATCTCAACGGAAGCGCCGCCCGACAATGTGGCAACTTCACCCGACCACGGTTCTCCAACGCCCAGATTCTCGAGTCTCCGAATGACAAGCCTCACATCGATTTTTTTGGAAATTAACGGCGGCCATGGACGCCACTTCATCATCTTCACCACCATTTACTGCATCTAGAGAGAAACCTCGGGGAATTTGGCTAGTCTTTCCTCAGAGATGGGTTCGATGTGCACTGGAAACTTGTTAAGTTGGCTTTTTTTTGTTTTTCTTTTCGCTTTTTAAGATTTTCCCATCTCAAGGAGATGTTGGTGGAGATAATAAAATACTATACGCCGTTAAGGTTCTGGAGACAGGTGTCAGATAGACTGTACAAAACCGGGCTGGCCCGCCCAGCCCGCCCGCACAAATTAGCGGGCTTGGGAATATATATTTACCCACCGGTCCGGCCCGGGCCCGGCCCGCAACAACATATGGGCGGGCTTGGGTTAGGGTGTAGGCCCGTTCGGGCCGATAAGCCCGGCCCGCTACATTTAGTATATATACATATATATTTTTATATATACTAATTTATGTATTTAGTTACATGTACACATGTATATTTTTATATTTACTAATTTATCTGTATACTATTTATAGTTTATTATGTTTAAATTTAAGTTTTTAGTTCTTAACAAATAGTCCAACCAATATAATATCTATTTTTGTACTTACAGTAATACTTTGTGCATGAATTTTAAATTTTAGATATAGTTTCTCATTATTATTTTTGTGTAAATATTTTTTGTGTATGTGATGAAAGACCTATATACATTATAAGCGTATTAGCAATTTTTTAAATGTTGTAATATTATTTATAAAGTATTAAATAAATTATATAATTTTGAAAAATTTAAAGTCTTCCCGGGCCCGGCGGCCCGGTGGACTACCCGGCCCGCTCTTACGGGCGGGTACGGACATGGGGTTAGGCCCGTTTTTGCAGGCCGGGCCGGGCCGGGCCCGCCCACACATGATGGGCAGAAAACATATGAAAAGCCCGGCCCGAACCCGGCCCGAACCCGCTTTTGTGCAGGTCTAGTGTCAGATAGTGATAGACCTAGAAACTAGCACAATTAGAGCATGTGATAGTTCCTTCCTAAGATCATTTGGAGTGGTGTGAGGGTCAAAATGTCAAAAATGGACTTCGTCTTTATGAAAATAGTGTTTTGACTCCTATTTTTCTGCATCCCAGCACCGTCAATAAAATGTACTCTACACACTTTTTACATATCAATTTAGTAAAACATTAATTAAATTATTATAAGTAATATTTTTCTTTTAATTTAATCCTTGAATAATTATGAAATAAAAATACACATTTCGATGTAAAAGTAAATAAATTTCATTAATTTTTTTAACATTTTTCGGTTAACAAAAAATGAACTTAGTTCAAGTAAAGTTCGATTACGGAATATTAAGTTATTTGTGAAGGCTACATGAATTAAAAAATTGTGTTTTGTATTTTTTTGGGCTCATGAAAACATCAATAGTTAAAATTTCAGATTTTTTTCCATTTTATATATTACATATTGGTGTCATATGAAAGAGTATAAAAAATTATGAATTTTGATATATATTTTTCTAAATTTGATTTATGAAAAAATAAATTATAACCATTTTAAGAAAGATGGAGTTTTATTTTATGGGCCCACTAACTACTCACCACTCATGATTCCTTTCTTTTTGCCAAAGTAACACTTCCACCAGAGTCAATCGGCCAGCTAAAATTGGACTCCTCCCTCTCCATCTCCATTTTTAGCCTCCTATAATGCTCTCCAATAGTCCAATGTAAGAAGTTAGGAGTCTAAAATCTCCATTTTTAGCATTTTAGACTCCTAATACCTTACCACTACAAATGGTCTAAGGCATCCTCATCTATGGATTATTTTTGGGATCATTTTGATGGTGTGGAAGATTTTTTTTGAAATCATGGATGAAGAGTTGAGATTATTTTATGAGATTATTTGATAAAATAATCTGGTATCAAATTCTAAAGCTGGATTATGTTGAGATTATTTCCAACTTTTAGACTCCTCTCTCCATTTTCTAGGCATATACTCATAATTCGACGATGAAATCCCTATCTTGAGATAGATGCAGAGGCTTTTTGAGGTGTAGTTTGTCCAAGTCAAAATGTTAAGGAGTCTTTCTACACTCATATGGCCCCTTCTCGTAGTGTTTAAGGAGACTACATGCATTGGAAGCCAAATTGAAATCCCAATGTCTCAATTGATGACATGACACACATTTTCTTCACTAGAAAGCATAGCAATGCGGATGCTCTAAGGAACTATTTGCAATTTTTAAAAATATTCAAGCTAATAGTCTATCATTGGAGTGCATCTTTCCTTCTAGTTTGGGCAAACAAATTAACCAATACAAGCTAGTTGTTAGAAAGAAGGGAAGTTTAAACTAGAATGGTAATTACCAAATATATTTAATCTATTTACCAATATCACCCATAAATGATGTGCAAAGTCAAATCTCGTTGATTACAAAAAAAGCGTCGATCCCCACTAATCTCGCATAAATGGTAATTACTAAATATATTTAATCTATTTAGTAACATGTTGCATTGTAAGAGGTACGTATTACAATGCAATACGTACCTCTTACAATTGCATTGTAATACGTACCTCTTCCAATGCAATATGTTACTTTACACATCAAACATGAACTAAATGTATCACTTTCCACTTTTGTAAACAAAGATATATTACACAAAGATATATTACATGAACTAAAAGATATATTACTTTTGAATCAGTAACATGAACTAAATATGTTACCGATTCATATAATTTTACTTCTAATTTACATTATTTATATCATTTTTCCAAACATTTGTATCACCAAACAATACAATATTTAGACATTAGCAACACGTATATACAATTCATGACATCATTTACACCAGACATTAGTGATTTACATTATCTTACTTACAATATTATAGTTACATATTTGGTTCGAATTTTGCTATACATCCTTATTACACCTTATATAACCCCCTCCGTTTTTTATTTCCCTTCCTTCCCACTCTTTTTCTCTCTTCCATTCCTCCCCTCTTGCATCATACGAACCACCCCCCTCTCTTTCTTCTTTCTCTCATTCTTCTTTCTTTCTTTCTTTCTTTCTTTCTTTCTCCTTCATTATCATTTTCTTCTTATTTTTCTTTCCTTCTCTCTTTTTCTTTCATTTTACGTTTTACCATCACCTCTCATCATTATCTTCATCATCATCTCCCATCACCATTTTCACCGGAAAATTAGAGTCGCCGCAATTTTGTCTGTATGGTATATAAATATTGTCTGTATTGTGTTAAATAATGGTAAATGTTGTCTATAATGAAAGATTAAACTAACAAACTAATAACATTCTATAAATTTTCGCCTTAGACACAAAATGTATGTATACTGACACTGGTTTTGTTTCAGTGTTTGTATACACACATTACACAGACAAAAAAATGTTAGAAAAAGTCAGGGTTAGATTGCATCGAAACAAATGTTTGTGTACACAGACAAAAATTGTACATATACAAACACTTTTTGTGTTACACACACAACTAAAATTTAATGTCTGTGTACACCGACATTGGTTTACGTGCAACAACCCTGACAGGTCTGAAAAAGGTACACCAATCAATGTGATTTACACGCTACCCGATTTTTGTTCACACGGACACTTTTTGTCAGAAGTGTCAATGTTTGTACACTTTTGTCTGGAAAAAATCGCAATCCTACACTAACGGAATTTTTTTGCCCCCCTTAACTTGAAATACTAGATCCGCCCCTGCATGCAAGGTATAAATAAATATATCCGGAGTATATACGAAGCAAGAAAGAACTGCAATATTGTTATTGCACTAATTATTCCAATCAAGCATGAATCCAACTAATTATTGCACTAATTATTCCAATCAAGCATGAATCCAGAGTATATAAATGTCTCTGATCTTCATTGAAAAGAGCTTTTTATTTCTTTTCTAGTGATTAATTAGAATGAATAAAGAAAGAAAAAAAGGTGAGGATACAAATACTGTAATTATTATGAGCAAAATATGTTTGAAGCTTAGGTGATTCCACACGTTTAAATCGCTGAAGAAGAGCGCCCAAATGATCGGAACTAAGTGGTGTAGTTATGAAGCAGATGCAGCAATGCTTGGAAATCTTTAGTGGAGCTCCCCCCTTCAGGTTTGACAGCCTCCAATGCCTTCTCTTTGAGCACCCCAACATTTTGTATGAACACCTTATGCTGCCCACTCGCCAGAACGCGATCCAAGGCTTTGATTGTCCCATTCTTGGTAAAGATCCCACCCTCCACTCTCACCCCTATCTCCCACACACTCTCCACCAGCCTGCTGTTCAGCTTCTGATCCCCGAAAAATGGCCTACAGATCAAGGGCACCCCGAAGGATACCGCCTCCAAGATCGAGTTCCATCCGCAATGCGTCACAAAAGCCCCGACCGAAGGGTGGGACAGAACTTGTACCTGGGGGGCCCACGGCACAACCTTCCCAAAATCTTTTGTCCGCTCGAGAAAACCATCAGGAAGGAGGTTCAAGCACGTCTGTTTAAGGGACCAAAGAAAGGGCACCCTTTTGGCTTCTAATGCTTCTGCTATGGCCACGATCTCGTCCGGTGGCAGAGCGAGGACTCTTCCGAAGCTGAGATAGACGGCGGGGACGGGAATGGTGTCCAGCCATGGAATGCACTGGTGTTCGTCGGTCACTTGTGTTGGCAATGAGGAGAGGAGAGTCATAGGGCCAATGTTGAACACCTTCTGGAGCTTGGATTTGAGGTGGTTGGTGATGGTTGGCTCTAAGTCTTGGAAGGAATTAATGACGACAGCGTTCGCTTTGTGGATGTTACATGACATGTTGTAAAGCATGCCGGGGAAGGATGAATGGATATTCTCGATCAGGACTTCGGCAGGCACGTCGCCGATTGATATGCCGGACAATCCTGGGATGGCTTGTAGCAGCTGCTCCTCATCTCCTGCACCCAAGGACGTTTATTGTTCATTTTTATGATAAATTAACCATTATATTACTCAAGTAAATCATTCTCCATTAGACTTACGGCACAATTAGGAGCTTGCTCACATAAAACAATACACAATTTGTCTCGGATTAAAATTTTAAAATATGTTTTTTTAAGCTCTGTAATTTTTATCGTTAAAAAAACTGTGTAATTTTTACTAACAATCAATGTTAATAGTCAAAATCGTGTATTGAAAAATATCAAATTAA